GGGGGGGGGCACAGGGCTTTTTGCTAAGCAAACAAGGATCTGGGGAACAATGGAGGGGTAGGGACAGGAGGGCACACGCTCACCCAGCACTGGCCCCCAGGCCTCTCCCTCCCAGGACATGGCAGAGGCTGGATCAGGGTGCAGAGAGATGCCTGAGGCTCTCACCAAGCAGCTGGGCTGGTGCAGCTGCTGCCTGACCTCTCCCGGCACAGACACCGGGTCTGTGGCACGAAGCCCCCACCCAGCCGGCGGGCACAGGGCCTTCAGGATGGGCATCAGCCCCGTGGCTACTGGCAAAGCTCTCTGGGGCAGCCCTCCAGAATCCCCGTCTCAGTGCTGGGGGGCATCAGGCTGGGGAGACCCCCACCCCTTGGGCAAGATGGTCAGGCCGATCCATTGTTCTCGAGCACAGCTGGCCCATCTCAGCAGGGCCACACATGGGGTCGGGCTGACAGTGGAGTCCCTGTGCATGGCCTCACAACCCCCCCTCCCCACAGGAGGGGTGATGGCCCCAGCCAGCCAGCCTGTCCCTGCAGGGTAAATAGTCTGCTAGGGCCATTGTCTGGCTAATCCCTGCTGTGGGGTTGGGGGGGGGGGGGCAGGAAATAGGATCCCACCCTGCCAGAAGCCACCAGGCTGGATCTGCCTCTGGGAGCGAAGCTGGGGAGAGGGTGGTACGGGCCCCGGGGTGCCAATCTGGGTGGGAGGTTTGGATGCCTTGCGTGGTGGGGGAGGGCAGCTCATACACTGTGGGAAGGGGCTAGCGAGGAGACCCCGGTAATCCAACCCCTTCAAGCAACAGGCTCACGCTGGGTTCTGGGCTGAGCCCAGCTTTGGTTCTGATTAGAAAATCCCCCCACCCCAGTCTCCTGCCTCTGGCTGAGCCCCGGGAGGGCTGGAGGGCAGGAGGCTGGGGGGTGGGGGCTGTTCCCCTCCCATGTTAAAATGTTCGTTGTTACCCAGGTGTCCAGCCCGATTGTGCCCCCCCCGCCGCATCTGCCCCTGGGCTGGAGACCCTGGGGGAGGGGGTGTTGGGGCAAGTGGGGCTTGTGTCCCTAGCGCTACCAGGGTGTCTCTCCTGCCCCCTAGGAGAGGCGCTACGCAGGCCTGAAGCCCGGGGAGCTGCCCACGTGTGAGAGCCTCAAAGACACCATCGCCCGCGCCCTGCCCTTCTGGAACGAGGAGATTGTCCCCCAGATCAAAGCCGGCAAGAGGGTGCTGATCGCCGCCCACGGGAACAGCCTGCGCGGCGTCGTCAAGCACCTGGAGGGTACATCCCCCTGATGAGTGACCTTTAGCTGGGCCGGGTGCCAGGCCCCATGCTCTCCTAGCTATGCGCCCTTTGTAAGGTCCCCAGGGCTCGTTCCCTCTAGCCTTGGCGTCTGCTCCTGGGGACATGGGGGCCAAACCGGTCCCCATCTGCCTCCTGGAAATTCCCTGCCTGTCACCTTGCTCTGGGGGAGAGAGGGTCCCCAGGGTGATTAGCAGGGCTGCCAGCGAGCCGTGGGGACTGGTTTCCCAGCCAGTGGGCAGGAGACTGCTCTGCCAGGGGGCCTGGCGAGGAAGGGGGGCAGGGAGTGCCAGGAAAGGAGCTGCAATGCGACTAGAAGGGACCCAGCAGGGAGGTGCCCCCAAGCTCTCCCCCTCCCCATGATCTGGTTAAAGGCTCTAAGCCACACAGCAGCCAGCTGGGATGGGCTGTAGGGGCAGCAGGTCTTATCCACCCTGGGACCTGTAGCTAGAGATGGGCTAGGTCTAATATGGGCATCAGGAGTCCGGGAGGCAACTCCTCCACCCCCTCTGTGTCTCAGTTTCCCCCACTGTATCATGAGGCTGACGGTCTGGGGCTGGGAGGTCTGATCAGCAGGCAGGTGAGGACCCTGGTGCAGCACCCGCAGTGAGCGACTCCCAGCCCGGCGCAGGTGCAGCCCGGGATGGGTACGCCGCGTATCCAAGGCCCAAGTGAGCCTCGTGGGGCAGGGGGGAGTAGGAGCTGGCAGCTCCATGACCGGCTGCCACAGAAGGTTGTTGCTATTTTGAGGTGGGCATCACATTTCAAGGCTCTGGGAGGGGTCTGGTTTCCACGCTGACCAGCCTCCCCCCTCCAATTCTGACGCTGGGATTTGGTTTCCCTGGCCTCTGTGAGCCCCGGCCCTAAAGGTCACTGAGGGATTCCAAGGAGCTTTTTCAGATGCAGGCGGATGGAGCTGCACGACCCAGCCTGTGAGATGTGAGGCAGCTCCTCAGGGGACTCCCCACAGTGCCCTGTGCTGGGAGAGGCCGGGGCTGGAGTAGCCAGAAGCTCCCCCCACAGCCAGCGCCCTGCCCCGCCCCTCATAGTGCCCCCTGCTGGGACAGGCTGGGGCTGGAGTGGCAAGGGGTCTCCCCCCACAGCCGGCACTGCCACCTCACTGGCTGTGTTTCTGCCTCTGCCAGCAGGAGGCGCTGTAACTTTGTTGCTGTGCAGTGGGAAAGTGCCTGATGTCTCTGTGCTGGGGCAGCCCCAGTGGGCAGCAAGGGAGGCAGCAGGAGCCATGGGCCTGTCTGACCGTCCCCGCCCCCGCTCTCCCCACAGGGATGTCTGACGCCGCCATCATGGAGCTGAACCTGCCGACCGGGATCCCCATCGTGTACGAGCTGGACAAGAGCCTGAAGCCCACCAAGCCCATGCAGTTCCTGGGTGACGAGGAGACTGTGCGCAAGGCCATGGAGGCTGTGGCGGCCCAGGGCAAGGTCCAGAAGTGAAGGGGAGGGAGAGCAGCTAGGGCAATAAACCCGTGAAACCCGACTGAGTGAGAGCAGTGTGGGCGTGGGGGCCCTCAGGGCCTGGCGCAGCGTGTGGAACAGGGGCCTCAGGGCCTGGTACAGCCTGGGGAGGGTATGTAGCCCAGTGGTGGGGGGCTGGGGCTTGGAACAGCTGGGGGGGGGAGGTATTCCTGCGGGGGGGGGGGGGGGGGGGGCGGGGCCCGGCCGGGGGGGGTATGTAGCCCAGGAGGGGAGAGGGGTATGTAGGGGGTCCACCTACAGCCTGGGTGATCCAGCTTGGGGTGGACCTCACTTGACACAGCCTGGGGGCCCTCGCCCAGTGGCA